CCAGCCACAGCCCTTGCGAGGATACGCAGCTCATCTCCGGCTGGCCAACAGGCCTTGGTTTACCCCGATGGCGGGATGTGGGAAGACCGGAGGCTAAGCTGCAGCTGCCCATCCAGACTAGGGGGTGTTAAGATCCCCCACCCTGGGCTCCAGCACAGGACAGACGCAGATGGGAAGGATCCCACGTGAAACTCCATCCCCACGCACCGCTGCCTGGCTAGCTCCCTCTCCCGCTGGCTCTGCTCCTCCTGCTCCCGCTCCAGGAGCGCCCTCAGCTCCTCCGTCTGGCGGAGGTAGCGCTGGGCGGCCCGTTCGTCCGACTGCAGCAGCTCCGCCTCGTGCAGCGTCTTCAGCTTCTTGATCTCCTGCTTGTGTTTGGCGATGAGCTTCTGGATCTCTGGCTCCAGGCCTGGGGGCAAGGCGGGGGGTGAGGAGGCTCCGCGGGGAAGGACAGTGGCTCCACACAGCCTGGGCGAATGGGGCTCTCCAAGCGCACCCCCCCACACACCTCTTAGACCACTGTCCTCGGAAGGCAAGCAATGTCCAGAAGATAGGGCAGGCAGCTAAGGGGAGGGGGACTGATGCCCCATAACCTGGATGGGGGAAGCCCAGAGTCCTTCCATCATGCCCACAGGGATCCCAACACCACGCACTCCGCTGTACCCGACCCAGCTAACCCTGCCTCCGGCTCCCGGGCAAACGTAGCATGCAGCACCCAGCACAGCAGTGTTAACTACTGGTCAAGGGAGAGGTGGGGGAGGTCTTTGAGGCCAAGAAGAGCAAGAGCCAGTGACCTCATTGTCAGCTCAGCTGGGGGCGGGAAGGAGCCAAGCACCGGGCCCAGAAAGCGCAGCGCGGAAGGGGCTGGCTGAGCGAACAGGCCTTCCCTGCCCTCGCTGCTGGTGCGAGTCTACTGGGACGCCTCAGTACTTGGCAGCTGGAATAAAAGGACAAACCAGCGGGGAACCGTCACTGCTACCGCCCAGCTGAGCTTCAAAAGGGAGAGAACAAAGAGACGTCTGGAAGTCTGGCCAGCGTACGGGCTGCGCCCAGGCCTTTTCCTGGCTCTCCCCACCCGCTTGTTGATTTCAAAGTTACTGGTCAGGGCCACTTGCCTGAAAACAGGATCTTGGCTCCACACAGGAGCCCGCTCTCAGCCCCTGTGCCTCACACCCCTTCCAGCCACAACTGGAGGGAGAGCAGAGCAGTTCGGTACAGGCCCCAGGCGAGGACGCTTGAGCACAAGGGGAGACTCCAGCTCCTGCTCTCCCCTGAGCATCCAGAGAGGCAGGAAATGTGGAACAGCCCTGACACGA